ACAGGAGAACATAATCCAGACATTAATGTTTGGTACCTGCATCTATGGGTAGCTTCTGAATAAAGAGATGAGACAGGAAATTTTACCTCCTCTGGTCACATTTTCTCATTTGTTCTCACTTACAATATGTCCTGGTTTGCTTGACACAGTCTCAGTTTTTGCAGTTCTGATGTAATTACTAATAGTGTCCCTTTTCATTCACAGAATTATCCCAGTGGGTGGTAAATTAAATGGTAGGCCTACTTATATGACATTTAATGTGTGCCAGGCTCTCTTCTGAACTCTCTGTACATTCTCACTTAATCTTCATGAAAATCCTAAGTAGCAGATCCTGTTTTTATCGTGTTTTACATATAGGGAAGTCAGGCACAAAGAGGTTAAATAACATGGCCGAGATTGCAGTTATGTTTGAGTAGTGACTGGTGGAGCCAGGAGTTGAGTGCAGGCAGTTTCTTGTCAATGCGCTTAAGCACTCTGCTCTGTGGTCTCTATGCGGGCCCCAAACATACCTGTCTTTGTAGAATACACACTGACCCACTGGAGTCTCCTGATAATTAATCCGCATAGTTTTAGGTCAGCATCTGGCTAAGGCTTTGGGAATTTGAGGGGTTTCCGTTTCTTCACAAAAAACTTGTAGGTTCCTCACATACCACAACACCAATCTGATGATAATCAGACTTCTTTCTCAGAAGGTTGAACATTTGCCTTTTTCATTCTCTTAGTGACAGCTACTTGGCATTCATTCCTTCCTGGATTTCAGTTACGAACATTCCCAGCTTTTGCAGATTCTCAAGTCCCTGCCACAGTCACTTTCGGCCATCTTTGGTATAAATAAATTCATGGACACACGCACACATGCACACAGTGTCTCCAGCACCTGGAGCAATGCCTATCATATGGCAGGAACACAAACTTTTTCACTGCCTTTGATCAGTTCGTATTTTGGAATTATCTGGGGACAGTATTCACAGGCGCTTTACAGAAAGTTTTTTCAGACAGCTAACTGCTTTCAGGTAGCTTACAGTTTAGTAAGGAGATGATGGATGTACTGGAAGAACTATGATGTAAGACAGCTGAGCTGTGTGAGCCAAGTACTTGGCTCCAGAATAACTGCCCCAATAACTACCCCTTGTTTTTAAGGACAGGCCTTGGGTTTGCCAAGAGTAGAGTCCTGACAAGAATAATTGTCAACCCAGACGAGAGGAGGACTCTGGCAACTTGACACGGGTCCTCTTGTAAGAAATCCTCCATCAGCAGTACTGTCTGTCTTTATATGTACGTCCTCACCACGGCACATTCTGACCTCGGTAGTGATAAGCAGCAGGAACAGCTGGAACTACTCAGCAGCAGAGAATTTTATTTTTTAACTAGAGGCCTGGTGCACAAATTTATGCACAGATGGGGTCCCTCTGGGTGGCCTGCAGGGATCGGGCTGAAACCCGTAGTCCAATGCCGCCTGCAGCTCCTACCTGCTGCTCCCACTCATTCTGGCCCCACTGTGCCTGCTGTGGGCTCGTACCCAATCAGACCCTGATCGGGAGAGGCTCGTGCTGTCACAGCAGCGCTCGCCAGCCATGAGTCCTGCGTCTGGCACCCTCCCAAGGGGAGTGGCCTGCAGGATCGGGCTGAAACTGGCTCTCCGGACATCCCCTGAGGGGTCCCGGGTTGCAAGAGGGCACAGGCCAGGCTGAGGGACCCCACCAGTGCACGATCGGGCCGGGGAGGAATCGCGGGAGGGCTCCAGGGTGTGTCTGGTCCATCTTACTCAGTCCAGATCGGCCGGACCCTAGCAGCAAGCTAACCCATCAGTTGGAGCATCTGCCCCCTGGTGGGTCAGTGCATGTCATAGTGAGCAGTATTAGCATATCATTATCATATTATGCTTTGATTGGTTGTTCGGTTGTTCTGCTGTTCAGTCTATTTGCATATTACCCTTTTATTATATAGGATAGGATGTGGAAGCCTGGTGTTATTTATTTGATTTTTTCAATGCTTTTTAGTTTAAAGTCTATTGATATGTACATGGTTTTTTTTCTTAATAAAAACATTGTCTATGTTTATTATAATATAATTGTATTTTGCTTTTTTACTTTCTTACTGGATATCTTAATAAGATGATATGGTTACATTGGAACAGAATTGATCACAATAGCCTAGTGCAGTGGTTGGCAAACTGCGGCTCGGCAAACTGCAGCTCATGAGCCACATGCAGCTCTTTGGCCCCTTGAGTGTGGCTCTTCCACAAAATACCGACTTTTGTGCATGGGCCACAAAGTTTCAGTCGCACTGTATGTGCACGTCCGCACATGGTATTTTGTGGTATTTTGTGGAAGAGCCACACTCAAGGGGCCAAAGAGCCACATGTGGCTCGCGAGCTGCAGTTTGCTGACCACGGGCCTAGTGAGAGAAGGCAGCATTCATTATCCTCACTTTACAAATGAGGAAGCTAAGTTTAGTTAAACTGTTAGCTCTGTGACTTTGGGGGAAAACAGCACAATTGGGACTTGTACTTGGGTTTTAGAATCTAGATTCAGTGTATGTCACATGGCCTTATTTTAACTTATTAGATTGATTTCTTTTTATCAATATCAAGATAAGGACAATGAAAGTTGGGATTATATCCCATCATAAGTCCTTTTTAATGAATGTCATTATAGAACCTAGTTCAACTTAATTAGTCCATTTCCATTTCTGAGTTGACAAGGCTTATTAATACCACTTTGATGATTTTAGAGCCAATAAATTCTATTGGAGGGGAAGTCCTGTAGGGGTCACAGGTGACCTATACGGTACCTATGTGTAAATCAGAAAAAGGCAGCCCCTCTAGGTCAGCGGTTCCCAATCCGTGGGTTGCGACTCCTTTGGGAGTCGAACAACCCTTTCACAGGGGTCGCCTAAGAACATCGGAAAACACATATATAATTACATATTGTTTTTGTGATTAATCACTATGCTTTAATTATGTTCAATTTGTAACAATGAAAATACATCCTGCATATCAGATATTTACATGACTATTCATAACAGTAGCAACATTACAGTTATGAAGTAGCAACGAAAATAATTTTATGGTTGGGGGTCACCACAACATGAGGAACTGTATTGAAGGGTTGCGGCATTAGGAAGGTTGAGAACCACTGCTCTAGGTGGACTGTCAGTCAGAAAAAGGCATACCTGGTAGGGGCAGGTTGAGCCTGCATCAGGATGCTGGACGTGGGAAATGCGCATCTGGGTTTGTCTACCCTGTCTCCTTTTTGTGGTCCTTGAAAAGCAGTATCATGAATCTTATTCATATTAATTTATTTAGAAAGAGCTGGTGGGTTTTTTTAAGTGTTTTATTTATAGATAAAACCTTTTGTATATACCTGCCTCAGCACCTTGTACTTGTTCCCTGCACCTGGTACCTGAACTTCCCTCTTTTCTACTTTGCTCACTCCTTCACTTCACCCAGGTCTCTGCTCATATGTCACCTTCTCAGTATCACCTCACCTATCCTAACTAAAACATTACCCCCAATCACACTCTCTCCCTTTCTGCTGTATTTTCCTCATACTACATCTTACCACCTGGATATTATATTTTTAAATTTTTGTCTCTCTACTAGAAAATACACTCTGTGTATTGCCTGTTTTCTTCACTGTTGTATCCCAACACCCAGAATTACCAGTTTTAATATTTGTTGCCTTTTATTAACAATGTGCCCTTTCTGGACTATAATGTTATGAATATGATCTAATTGGATCTTATTAATACCTGTATGAAGGATAAATATTATAATTCCCATTCTGGAATTGAGGAAATCCAAAAGCTTAGAAAAGTTCAATAACACTCCCAAAGTCAAATATCTAATAATTAGAATCATTCTTTGACAAGTAGATCTGATCTGATAGCCAAAGTTCATTTTTTTTTAAAATATATTTTATTGATTTTTTACAGAGAGGAAGGGAGAGAGATAGAGAGTTAGAAACATCGATGAGAGAGAAACATCGATCAGCTGCCTCCTGCACATCTCCTACTGGGGATGTGCCCGCAACCCAGGTACATGCCCTTGACCGGAATCGAACCTGGGACCCTTCAGTCCTCAAGCCGACGCTCTATCCATTGAGCCAAACCGGTTTCGGCCAAAGTTCATTTTTAAAAATTGACTTTAGTGAATCTTTTGGGTTTTGTAATGTTTTTCAAAGAGTGATTTCTAATTACTGGAGAGGGCGGCTTAAATACTATTATCTCGATTTAAGGGAAAAGAGAGGCAGAACCCATGAGATTTAAAGCACTGGGATGAGAGATCAGACAACTCTGTTGTGGGATTGTACACTGGTGTGGCTACTATGGAAAATAGTATGGAGATTCCTCAAAAAATTAAAATTGTACACTTGAAACTAATATAATATTGTATGTCAACTGTAATTTAAAAATAAAAAAAGAATAAGTTAAAAACAGGACTACTATGTGATCCAGCAATCCCACTTCAGGGTATTAATCCAAAGAAATCGAAAGACTAATTCAAAAAGATATATGCACCCCTATGTCCATTGCAGCATTATTTACAACAGACAAAATATGGAAGCCACCTAGGTGTCCCTCAATGGACAAATGGATAAAGAAGACATGATACCTATGTTTTCCATTTGTAGGATTATTTTCCTGAATGGATTTGTAGGATGGAACAAATAGATAACTAGGTTAAAAAGATAAACATTTTTTCATTCTGAACCATGTAAAGGAGTGCCTGGAATGTAATAGTCCTTCAAACAATATTTATTGGATGAAAGAATATTCTAAAACTCTCTTTCCAATATGGATGTAACAATTTTCAGTCCCACCGATAATACGAGATTATCTGGTCTCCCACACCATCGTACATTTAAATTATCTGATGGCTTGCATGTAATCAGAAGAATTCTCCATCTTGAAAAAAAGTGTTATCAGATGGTATAGCTAAGGTCTGTTCCTCTTTTTATTTTCACCTTCTTGGTTAATGGACATGTGTTTTCTTGCAGGACTGAATTTGCTCTTAAAGAAATCATGTCCTCTGGAGGTGCTGAAGATGACATCCCACAGGGAGAGAGGAAAACAGTCACTGATTTTTGTTATCTTCTGGATAAATCTAAGCAACTGTTCAATGGGTTAAGGTTAGTGGGCTGCTGATACCTTAAATTTTTCTCTAGTTCTGTGTATTTTCCCCCATGGCTGAAGTATGGTACCTTTCTGAAAGTTATGGATAGAATGTTGCATCAATACCTGTACTAGAAGTGATCATGCTTTTTTTTTTTGACACTGTTTCTTCATTCTCAGATGAAAAAACAATAGGAAAAGAGGGTAATTTAGTGTTGTACTTGAGTTAAGGAGAGCTCTTGTTCCATGCTTTTATATACATTAGTCCACATTATACCCGATTTACATCTCATCTTACACATTGGGGTATGGAGGGTTAAGGAGCCTACAAATGCATAATGCAGGTGAATGGGGCCTCTCTCCTGTTGCATTCTTTGTACACTTGTTTATTTGCTTGTTTCTTTTATTCTTTCTTTTTCTTTGGATAAAATATCTGTTGACTACAGTAATGACTGAGTGTTTTAGACAGTGCTATTTTTACTTCAGCTGTGCATGCCCTGAACAGATTGGCAGCAGAAGCTATAGGCACTTTTGTCCACATGTCTTTGTTGATGTATTCCTGTATGTAGTGGGTAAATAATTTTGTACTGTTTTGTTCTATTTAAATCTCTCAGCCCTGCTTTTTATTCTCTCCCTCCAATTTATAGAGCTATATTTCATACAATAAAAATTCACCCATTCAGAGTTTATAATTATATGGTTTAGTATACTTAGAGTTGTGCCACTATCACCATAATCTAATTTTAGAACAGTAATCACCCAAAAGAAACCACATACCCATTAGCAGTGACTCTCCATTGTCCCCAGTTCCTAACCCCCTAATCAACTTTCTGTTTCTATGGATTTACATATTTTGGATATTTCATATAAGTAGAATCATAAAATATGTGGTGTTTTGTGATTGGCTTCTTTCACAAAATAGAGTCTTTTTTTTTTTTTTTTAATTAAATCTTTATTGTTCAGATTATTACATTTGTTCCTCTTTTTTTTCCCCCCATAACTCCCCTCCTCCCAGTTCCCGCCCCACCCTCCGCCCTCACTCCCCACCCACTGTCCTCATCCATAGGTGCACGATTTTTGTCCAGTCTCTTCCCGCATCTCCCACACCCCTTTCCCCCCCAGGAATAGTCAGTCCATTCCCTTTCTATGTCCCTGATTCTATTATAATCAACAGTTCATTCTGTTCATCAGATTATTTATTCACTTGATTCTTAGATTCACTTGTTGATAGATGCATATTTGTTGTTCATAATTTGTATCTTTACCTTTTTCTTCCTCTTCCCCTTCTTAAAGGATACCTTTCAGCATTTCATATAATCCTGGTTTGGTGGTGATGAACTCCTTTAGCTTTTCCTTATCTGTGAAGCTCTTTATCTGACCTTCAATTCTGAATGATAGCTTTGCTGGATAAAGTAATCTTGGTTGTAGGTTCTTGGTATTCATCACTTTGAATATTTCTTGCCACTCCCTTCTGGCCTGCGAAGTTTCTGTTGAGAAATCAGCTGACAGTCGTATGGGTATTCCCTTGTAGGTAACTGAGTTTCTTTCTCTTGCTGTTTTTAAGATTCTCTCTTTATCTTTTGCTCTTGGCATTTTAATTATGATGTGTCTTAGTGTGGTCCTCTTTGGATTCCTTTTGTTTGGGGTTCTCCGCGCTTCTTGGACCTGTAAGTCCATTTCTTTCACCAGGTGGGGGAAGTTTTCTGTCATTATTTCTTCAAATAGGTTTTCAATATCTTGCTCTCTCTCATCTTCTGGCACCCCTATAATTCTGATGTTGGTACGCTTGAAGCTGTCCCAGAGGCTCCTTACACTATCCTCGCATTTTTGGATTCTTTTTTCATTTTGCTTTTCCGGTTGGGTGTTTTTTGCTTCCTCGCATTTCAAATCATTGACTTGATTCTTGCGCTCCTCTGGTCTGCTGTCGGGAGTCTGTATAATATTCGTTATTTCAGTCCGTGTATGCTTAATTTCTAGTTGGTTCCCCAATATAAGATCGAGGGTCTTATTAGTTTTCTTGTAGATCTCATTAAGTTTATCGGCGGCTTCTAAACAGTTCTTGAGAGACCTTAAAAGTGTGGTTCTGAACTCTATATCTTCCATTGACAATTTTGTCCTGTTTCTTTGTCTCCGCATTTTGTTATGCTTCCTTGGTGCACCCCCTAGTGGTCTTGGTTCGCAGTCTTATAGTTAAATCTTGATTGTTGTAGCTAATTCCAGGGAGGGTTTGACCTCCAGGCCAAGTGGCTATGAGAATCAGCTGTGTCAGCAGTGAGAGAACTTCTGTCCTCTAGGGAGGTGCTAATCTGGCGTTTGCCTGAGGCTATCCGGCAAATGCCTGTGTGCAGGGCTTGGGCGGGGCGGGTCGAACAGGATCAACAGGGTGGGCCAAAGAGAGCAGTTATGGCGGCTCTCAGTCCTGTCCCCAGGGGCTCTGCCTCTCTGAGTCCCAGCACCCGCTGCAAAGCTCAGAGAGAAAGCTGCACTCGCTCTGACCGAAGCCAGACAGTCCCGCTTCTCCCGTTTGAGTCTGGGACCCTAAAGACTCGCCCGGATCTGGAGCTCAGAGTCTGCGACTCCCTCCCGATTGAAAACGCCAACCGCGCCCTCCGCCGCCAGCCTGCTCCGCGCACTCCGCACCTCAGAATTTGACTTCAGCACTGCGCCTCCTCTGAGTGTCCGTATGCGTTTCTCTTTCCTCCTAGTTGTAGGACTTCCACTCAGCCAGCGTTCCTGTGGTTCTGGGTGATGTCCCTTCCGTTTTTTGGTTTCACTTTTGAAGTAGTTGTTCAAAGCAGCAAACTCCGGCGTTAACCTATGCCGCCATCTTGGTTCTCTCACAAAATAGAGTATTTTTTGAGGTTTATCTATGTAGTAACATGTATCAGTACGTCATTCCTCTTAATTACAGATTAATATTCCATTGTACAGATTTACCATATTTTGTTTATCTAGTCATCTGTTGATGAATGTTTGAATTATTTTCCCTTTTTGGCTGCTATGAATAATACTACTGTGAACATTTGTGTACACAGTTTTATGTGGACATATACTTTTAGTTCTCATGAGTATATATACCTAGGGGAAAAATTGCTGGGTTATATGGTACTCTATATTTAACATTTGAAGAACTTCTAGACTGTTTTTCAAAGAGACTACATCACCAGCAGTGAATGAGGGTTCCATTTTCTTCACATCTTCACCAATAATTGTTTTTGTCTGTCTTTTGTATGATAACCATCGAAGGGGGTGTGAAGTGGTATCTTGTGGTTTTTATTAAATTTTATTAAAATTTTTAGGGTGACATTGGTTAATAGGGTCATATAGGTTTCAAGTGTCAATTTCTATGATACATGATCTGTATATTGCACTGTGTGACCACTACCCAGAGTCAAACCATCTTCCATCACCATATATTTGGTCCTTTACCCTTTACTACCTCCCATGCCCTTCCCTCTGATAATCACCATACTGTTGTCTGCCTGTGTCTATGAGTTTCAGTTTTATGTCCACACATGAGTTTTGATTTGCATTTCCCTAATGACTAATGATGTTGAGCATCTTCTCATGTCTCAGATTTGTGTACCATGTGCCTGACGTGTTTCATCTTGCTATTTTATATCAGTGCTTTTTGCAGTACTGCTTTTTTAAAAACTAGGTATTTTGTGAAGGGCGCTCTTTCAGTTTAAACAAGCTTAATTATTTCTACAAAAATATGTGTCTGTGGTGAATAAGTATATATATCCTCTGATTGTTTTGGGGTTTTTGTTTGAGAGGAGTGTGGCCAGTGGCAGTGCAGGTCTATAATTTACTGAGAGATTAGTACTTTGGCTCTTTCTTTTCACTTTTAAAGAAAATTCATTTTATATATACTCACTGTATATATAAAACTATTGAAAAATATTTTGGTGAAGATATAAATGAAAAGTTGCCTATGATATGTAGTTAAACATAAAAACAACATATTTTAAATAATATTTTTTTGTCAAAAATTCTGTATTAAATACTAGTAAATGTGATGAGTCCTGTTTGCTCTTAATGCCCATTTGGTCTCTTCCTTCTGGGGGGGGGGGGGTGCTGATTTTCTCAGTGTCTGGTGCACTTGAGTTGTGTATTTTCTGTGCTTGTTTATATAAATGTTTATAAGTGTTTTGTTCAGTATTAGTCCTTGATTGGAAAGCAATGGGAAAGGCCTCTGTTTATGAGTTCCACAGGTCCGTGACCGAGTTCCCCATGATGGGGGTTGGAGGCGCGGGTGGCATGCTCCACACTGCTCTCCAATTCTGGTCCAAAGCTCTTTGCGCATATAAATTAAACACCGTTCTACTTTCAAATATTGACTAAGTTTTGGGCATTTCTTTTGAAATAGAGAAGATTTCTTTGGGAATAATTAAAAGAAGGGTGTTTTGGTTTTTTTTGTTTTTTACATTTGTGTTGGTCTGAATAAGAATCAGGATCACAGTGCTTATAGAGAACAAGAAATACATTGGCAGAGGTTCTGGACCAGCGTTTGCACTTGGGGAAATGGGGTGAAGTGGGAATCCAGCTGGAATAGCGTCAGCTTTTAACGTTGGCCCTCTTTCCCGGCATTCCTTGCATTGTTTGAGCTTATCTTTTGGCTTGCTTTCCTATTTGTTTTCTCTTTCTTTCTTGAGTTCACAAACTGGTGATGAAACTTGTTATTGCAGTGTAATGTACTTGTAGGAAAGTATACCTAAGGGTATTTTTTTTTCAGACTGAATACATCCATGTGGCTGGTAATTGGATAAAGAAATAAAACATATAGCACCTTGGCAACCCCTCATGATCCCTCTCACCTAGACTTTTTATCTCTTTATGTACAGAGTGAGAAAGTGTATTTCAGTGCATGAAAGGCCTGAGAGTTTCTATATAATGTCTTATGGGTATAATAAATTCTCGTTTTACTCTCAAAGATACGTATTTTCACCTTACATTAAGCCTTTCATCCAAGTTGTCAGAGACTTTTCAATTTCCCAGCTGTGACTGTCTTAATGGA